TTCACCACGCTGCAGGGGAAATGCCGAAGGCGCTTTCTCTCCTTTCTTGACCTCCTTTCCTCTGACCAGAGTGTTATGTGGTCCTTCATCTCAAAATCTTGCTCCTCTCTCCGCCCCAGGTCTTTCATTGGCTCCCAAGGAAACTGACTCTCGGGAGAGCCATGGCAGAGGCTTGGGCTACGGCAGGTCAGTTCGCAGAAGCTGAGCAGGTGGCTGGGCAGCCAGACTGGTCCACCCAAGACAGGCACTGCCCAGGGCCACACTGACCCCCATCGTTCCGTGTCCCCTCTTCAATATGTCATTCACAGAGGCGCTGATTGGCTCAGCCCTGGCCTGGGGTGGGTCCAGCCTGAAGCTGGGGAAACTTCCAGCAGTTTCTTACAGAGGCTAGATCGGGGGGACTCCTTCCCCCACTCCCCTTTCCTGTTTACTAAACCCTTGGAGCTGGGGGTGGGGATGAACCCTTAGCAGTTATTTACAGGGGCCATCACTGCAGCCCCTCCCTTGCTGCCAGCAGAGCTGGAGACCAGGGAAACCTTTAGCAGCTCCTTACAGGAGCCATTATTGTGGCCCCTCCCTGCTACCAGACAAAACCCCCACACAAAACCATAACAATGGGGCAGGCATCTGCACGCATATATATTAATATTTATGTTTATGTGTATGTATTTCATTTACTAGAAACTGGTTTTCAGGCATTTTAGATCTTATATGCAATTCCCATATGGGAATGACCTTATCTCGATGCTGATGCCACCTGAAATAAAGGCACTGGGTAACAGTCAGTGAGGAACTCACCATCAGGTAGCCAAGGAGCCATAAGCAGTTCCAACTTCATCTGGGCTTGTGTCTGGTACAGTTGGAAACCTGTTAAGCAGCAGTAAAGACTAACAAACTTTCAAAGCAGGGTGTTGCAGAACAGGTCCTTAACTCTGCCCTGGTGCATGTTTGTATTCACAGAAAGAACCGTCTTCCAAATAAGAGTAGGCATATTCCCTACAGTTCAGATAGAAAGCCTGGATACTACATACATAGTCTGTGAATCTGTCTACTGTGTACCAAATGAATACGTGCAAGTCTCAACATACTCACAAAAGCTATGTATAAAATAATACTTTGACAACGTTCTCTATCATAAACAGGATTTTAAACTAACTGAAATACCCACAGACATGAATATGTCTGTTGGCCTGTCACAATAGCTTGTGAAAGTGCTACGATTGGTCTGAGTTTAGTTTTAGATAAAAAGTAGGTGTTTGAATCTGATGAGAAGGGGGAGCTTTGGAATGACTTCCATGGGACCAAACGGCATGACAGTGTGTGCTTGAAATGGTCGGAAGCAGCGTGTAACAGCAGTGTTCACACTCCTTCACCTTGCATTGCACGCCGTGCGCCTTGTTCAATGTGTTCTGTCTTTTTTTCTGTGTTTGCCTAAATAGTGTGTGCCATGAGACTTGAGGGTTCGTGAAATAATACGCATTCTGAATTTGGTGCTGGATTCTGTTGCTTAGGAAGTCAATGGCCATTCTTGTCTCTGGATAAATGATGATCGCTACCAGCATCAGCCAGGGTGACTGAAAACATGGGAATAAAGGAAGTAATGTTGGGAGTGTCCTGGTCGCTTTCAGAGGAAAGCCAAAAAAAACAAGCCAACAAAACCAGTGCAGACAACTGAAAACAGTGGAATTATTTCATGAGGCTTAGGTAGCCCCTGGTGGCTGATACAATTTCGTTATTCTGCAATATGTTTTTTATGAGATGACTACAGATGTGAATACAGAGAGTTTTCCCTGGCAAAACATGCAGCCGAATTTCAAGTACTAAACCCAGAACTTCTTAATGAAGTTTGGTGGTTGGTGAATTATTTATGAAGAGCGAGAGGTGCCAAGCTGGCTCTGGGATGTGTTAGCCATTTGTTCTTCTGCCATAGACAGTGTCATAGCTCAGGCCTTGGGAACTTAATTTAGCTGATAATTGCACTACTTTGATTTATAATTTAATCTGAAGGTTCCTGCCTAGGGTCAAAGTAATAGACAACCATGGATATAATGACTTCAGACACAGGGTCTGACTGCATCCCCACAGCCTGTGGAGCCTTCCCTCACCTCTGTGCTTGACTGCTCATCGTGGCCTCTTTGCTCTGCCATCACAAGAGTTCATATCACTGCTCGGTGTACTAGATTTGGGGGTGAATCCTGCT